GTGAGACTTCATTTCCATGGAATTGTTTTTGTAACCAATCTCCAATGGAATGCTTTATAATATCATTGTCCAAGTCTCTATGACTTTGGTGCCTTGACATTACAAAAGGATTATTGCATGAAAGTTTAGACTTTAACACATTCTAGTAAGTGGCAAGAATTTTGTATTCTTACACTTATAATAAGGATTGAGAATTGTGAAATGAGCATCATTGGAAATGTGTTCAATTGATCTATTTCACAATGAAAGGACCATGGATAAACATGGTGTGTATGCTAAGAGCATGGCGTGACGGATGTTTTAATTCAAGTATTCAGATGATTGGTCGAAACAATATACAATGAATAAGGTCTAATTAATATGGTGATTAAATAATAAGTGTTTTATTTATATTCAAAAGTTTGAGACCATATTGGATTAGATTATTCTTGTGTTTCATTTCGCATGTTTTACTTCCCGAATAATAAGATTATTCAAATATCCACAGCCGATCATACTTTGGAAGTAAGTAGTGAGGTAAGACTGTTATGAATCCGACTGTAGATTGTCTAAGTGTTTAGACATGGCAAATGTTTGCTGCAGTGTTCATGAGTACTCCTGAAATAGGAATTTCAGTATTGGATTAAACCCACGCTCATTTGAATCACTTCATGGATTTTATCACAGGTGATTGTGAGACGATAATATCTTATATTCTTGAAACGGAGACATATAGTTGTTGTTTGCAAGTCGGTTGCGCATTGATAATACGTAAATGCATCAGTAACTTGATGTTATAAAAAGTATTGTTGTGTGTGATTTGATGAGAAAATAGTACAAGCATATGAGTCGAAGTTTATCCGTTCCTTTTACCCTAAGGGGATAAAAGCTATATATGTGGGCCCTTCGATGGTTTAGTGATGACACCCTAAGCGCTTGGTCAAGCCTGGACTGATTTGATTTGTTCAATTAGTCGGTCGTCATAAATAGGAAATCGGGAAACAGAACTTGGACAGGGAGAATGATCATAATCCATGTCTCTTGTCCATATGATATCTTGTAAGAACGGAGGAATATTTGATCCCTTATCTAAAGGGCGAGTTACTGATATGATCAGAGTTTGACAATGGCTTTTGAAAGCTACGATTGTTAATCAGATTCTGAAGTCATACTTGCAATAATAGTTATTAGACTGTTGGATTAGGTGTATAAGCCCATAACTATATTTGGTATGTACTTGATTTGATTATGAGCATGGTCCTTTTGGGGTGCCTTCACTCATGCAACTTGATAGGATGACTAGTGGAGAGAGAGAAAAAGTAGGATTTATTATGTGAATAATAAATTGGTACTCATAATGATTTTTTATTAATATATTATAAGATTAATATATTATTTGGAAATCATATTATTAATTAGTAATTAATCAGAAATTAATCTAGTATTAATTTTAGGATTTAAGGAACTGATTAATAATGGAGGGACTGGTTTTGCAAATCATTGATAGTTGCAAAACTGGGCTGATGGACTCCATAGAGTGAAGTGGATGAAATCCTATAGGGAGGCCCTATAGATTTCGTCTAAGGGCTCTAAAGAAGAAGTCCATGGGCTACTTAAGCCTTAAGCAGGAATTAGGGTTTCCTCCAGAAACCCTAGCAGCCCACACAACCTATATAAACCCTCCAAGACTAAGAATTTTTGGCCCTAAGCTTGAGAAACCCTAAGGTGGCCGATTTCTTGTCTCTCCTCTTCATCCTTGTTGTGTTGGGTGTTTGTGACTCCATTAGAGGTGCAACATTTAGGGCACTAAGCTTTCAAAGGTCAAGGATATTCAAGGCGAACTTGTTATTGCCACATAACAAGAGAGGTAACATCTAAACCCTAATTTATATGTCAATGTCGAAATTGTATATGCTAGTCTTAGGGTTATTGCTTTGGAGTTTGTAGTTGCATGTTCAATAGAGAAAAACTTAGATCCAAAGCAATTAGGGTTGCATGATCACATAAGAATGTTGTTATGCTCAAAGCCCATCAAAATCTTATTTATAAATTCATAAAAACAACTATGAATCTAAATATAAATTACACTAAAATAGAATAGAGTATAATTTTAACTTACAGAGATTCCCTAGACAAAAGTCTGGAAATTGCACCATCAAAGCTTCTATCTTATTCATATGAGCACCGTTCTCGACGAGTTTTATATCCACGTGTAACTATCTATGAGATTTACAACTTTCATTTAGACTCCATTGGCTAATTTTGACTTTATTTTTAAAGTTATATTTTTAACAGACTTAGACAGTTAAAGTCCGTTAAAAATTCATAACTCTCTCGTCTAACGTCTATTTCCGGCTGTCTTTATATTGACAGACTCCTATTAATGAGATATCCGATCCTCATTTAGATTGTTTCGGCTAAAAACTAACTGATCAAAATTTCGATTTCTTTGCTAACATAGTTATGTTGAAATATTAGAAAAATCATAATTTCCTCTCATGAATTCAGATTTAGACATTCTCTATATGCACGCTCTCGGTTTTTACGATTACTACAAATTTCATTTAGATCACTTAGGCTAATAAGCAATCTATCTCCTATTCACTCTTTACGACACTCGATGTCGTATCGGGTCAAACACGAAACTTCAATGAATCGTAACTTCTTTTGTTATAAGTCTGTCTTGAGCGTTCCGTATATCCCCAGAATCCTCATCACTACTACTTTGACTTTCGTCAAGGTTACTTGGCCTAACTATTATTCTATTTAAGACGCGTATTTTATTTCTTATTTTATTATATCGCTTTAAGCACGTATACTACATATAACTACACACAGAACACATAATACTCACTAATTCTCTTTATTTACTTCATAAAGGTTACAATTTCTAATTTTTATGACTCGATCAACTTAGAAACATGCAGAAAAGACACTTATAAGGTTTGGAGCAGCTCCTACTCAAAATGACAAAGGTCAAGGGACCAAAATGCTCATAAACCTCATTACTAACTAGATTTATGAAAGACATCATCAAGGTTCAAGCTTTATACCTCATGGAGAATGTTGATGAGGTGAAAGGCCTGAATCTACAAGCTATAGACTCCTAAGTGCTTCTTCAAGGGAATCATTCTTCACAAAACACTCAAAAGAACACACAAATGCTTCAAAATCCTCACAAGATGGCTAGGGTTTCGAGGTTACTGCATATGAGGGTGGAGGCTGAGCATAGGAAGGCTTCCAATGGATTAGAGCCTTTAAATAGGGCTCACAACCCCTCAATTAGGGTTTTGGTCAGCAGCGACTATGCCCTGTGTAATAAGATTTACGCCATGCACAGATCATTAAAGACACATTCCTCCATCAACCACTACGCCATGCGTAGCTATACTACGCCCTGCGTAGGCAAAACTTCCATCTCCCCGCTCAATTTCAATCAATCATAACTTCTTCGTTTCAAATCCGTTTTCGGTGTTCTTTATATGAACGAAAAGGTATTAAAAATCCCCACACTCCTATATAGTCACCTTTGGCTTAACACATGCCGAACTAAAACCATAATCCATACAAGAAGCCCGCCCTATAACTTTTCCCTTTCTACCATTTGGTTCCAACATACGAATCAAGGGCTTAGACCCCACAACCAATGTTATCAAACTTTAATAAGGTCAAAACTTTACTTTCTCAAAGCCCAAAGCCTTTACATGATCGAATTACGACCCTCAAACCCCGAATTAAGAAACATCCGAAACAGGGTGTTACAAAAAATGTGTGACATGTGTCTTATATTGGGAAAACATCACGAAGTACTCACATTGGTAGTTAGGTTACTATCTGCATTGTTTCCCTTTATCCTTTGCCTTCAAAGCTTTCCATTTTTTCTTCAGTTACTATAAAATTGCCGCATTGGAATGGTTAACTAACCATCATCATATGTTTCACACATAACAAGTTTCAACATGCCCATTTAACCAACCCAACCTTTTATTCCATTCCATAACATTTTATATGTTGTTTAGCAATACACTTTAGCACTATAATTCTCCCTTCATTGGTTATTTAACTTATAATGGTTTTATCTAGGAATATAAATATTTCTTTGACCAATTGGTTACTTAAACTTATTTAAACAATATAATGATCTTTGAATAAGATATTAACCCAAATACTAATCATGTTTTAATATTCATGTGTAAAGCAAGCAAATTGCATTAATACTCTTGTTAAAGAACCATAAGAATCAATTTATAATTTATTTATCCAAGTCTTCATATTTCAAATTCCAACTCATGACTAGCCAAACTTGCAAATTGCTAAATACATGCTATTTCTAATAGATAACATGTTTCTCAACTCATTTTATAATTTTCTAGTCTCAAATCTCAATTTGATCATGGAAGCAAACTCTTAAAAAAATATATAATAGATCTATACCTTCAATCTTTGCTTTGAATGAGAAAAACTTTTTAATTTTCCTTGGAATTGAGTTTTTAAACACTAGGACACCAAGAAGTTACACACATTTTTTCTCCCAACTCTTCGAAGGGCAGCAAGTTTAAAAATGAAAGAAAAATGGCGTTAAAATGGTAAAAACCATAAAAAAATGGTCTAGAAGCATTTTAGTGACATCTTACTTTTAACTTAATTTTTGACATTATTAATTATTTTGTGACAACACTTATTTACTAGTAGAAAAACAATCACATAATGCTTTGCAATGGTTTTGGAGATGGAGTGGTTAAGAAAATTTGAAACTTACTTTATATAAATGGGGCCATTCGTCTCTTTTTCACGTATTGCTAACTAGTTTTCACTAATTATGTAGTCATTTCTTTTAAATATATAAAAATGACTATTTTTGTAATACTAACTTCCACTTTATTTGTCATTTGTCATTTTAATTATTAGCTCTTTCTATTTCTATTAGGGTTGATATTGGACAACCATTGTACATCATTCATCATCAAACATATACCAATGGCCACCCAAAAGTCCAAAACAAGTCCAACAACTCAAACCCGTGCATATACTCATGACACGGTTCGATGCCCATCAACAGAATATCGAGTGACGCAAGCTCTTACACGACACGAGTCAAGCACACCCAAGTGAACTCAGCCTCACCTTCCACCAAAGCGCAGCCTTTTTTCACCAAGAATCAAGAACATCAAAACCCCTTTTTCTATCATCCTCCATTTCTCCTAGAAGCCGAAAGCCTAAAAAAAGTACAGTCAATATGCCGGTCGGCGTTCTCGCTTTACAGGGTTCCTTCAACGAACACATCGCCGGTTCGTTCCCTCGTCCTCTGTTTTTATTTATGAGTATGTATGTATCTATTTCAAGGAACTTTCCATTACTGAATCGTGCGATTGTGTTTGTGTGTAGCTCTAAGGCGGATTGGGGTGAAGGGGGTGGAGATTAGGAAAGCAGAACAGTTAGACAACGTAAGCTCGCTCATTATCCCCGGCGGCGAAAGCACCACCATGGCTAAGCTTGCCGAATTGCACAATCTGGTAAACTTCTATCCATCCATCTGTCTCTCCACCTTTCCGATGCCCATTTGATTCACACAACCCAAATCCAAAAATTGTATTGAAACTCTATACATGGTGTATTTGCACTCTATATGTTCGACAAAAGTCCTATATGAGCCTTTCTCTGAATCAAATTGGTAATCTGCTTGTAGTTTCCTGCACTCCGTGAGTTTGTAAAAATGGGAAAGCCAGTTTGGGGAACATGTGCTGGTCTCATCTTCTTGGCAAACAAAGCAACTGGTGAGATTCTATACAAAGAACACATTTTTTGTATTGCAAATAAGTTAAAGACTCAACATTCAAATTCACGAAATTGACACCAATGATTCATTTTTCTGTTTCAGGACAAAAAGAAGGAGGGCAAGAACTTGTTGGAGGGCTGGATTGCACAGTTCATCGTAATTTCTTTGGTAGTCAGGCAAGTACTTTCATTATTTTTCTCATTAAAGCATTATACTTTCATAAATTTAAATGACATTTTTAAAAATACAAAACAAATAATGAAAGTATGTTGCTATTTCTTGCATAATAATATACAGATTCAAAGCTTTGAAGCTGAGGTTCCCGTACCAGATCTTGCTGCTAAAGAAGGTGGCCCGCCAAGTTTTCGTGCTGTTTTTATCCGCGCTCCTGCAGTTCTTGAAGTGGGGCCCGATGTTGAAGTGTTGGCTTCTATTTCTATTCGGTCAACCGAAATAGTTGACCCAAGTCAAGAAGCTCAACCCGATACTAAAGTGATTGTAGCTGTCAAACAAGGAAATCTACTCGCAACCGCATTTCATCCTGAGTTGACTATTGACTCTCGATGGTATTTCCATTTCCTAAATTATTTTTTCAAACAAAAGATTATTCTTCTAGCAACCCTGAGCTGACTCACACTCACACTGTCCAAGAACATCATATAAGATGTAAATCATGGCCAACTTTGAAACTCTCGTACCAGTCTGTTGCTGCTGAGACTTGAACCCTTGACCATTTCTTTAAGGATTATACATTTATACCCTAGAAAAAACTTTTATATATTTCTTAAGTTGTTTCTTTAAAGTGCATTGCTAATATTTGTTTTTTTTTTTTTTTTATAGGCATAGTTACTTTGTGAAAATGTCGGTTGGTAATAATGAAATAGTGGCATCGAGTAGTAGCAGTAGCTCTTATGAAGATCAAGAAAGTTTCCTTTACAACAAGCAACCAAAAACCGATCTTCCTGTATACGAGTAGCTATGAAATTGATTGATATAATTGTTGAGGGGTGTTTTTGTTAATGGGATGATTCAACAAGGGGGTGTTTGCAATTTTCAGGTCATTTGTGTATATAATGAAGGAAATTGATTCATCTTTTGCTTTTTGTTTTGTTTTGTTTGGACAAAATGTTTGGATGTTATCATTTATAAGAGATTGGATTTATGTTTTATTTCTTATGTGGTGTGGTTTGATGAATTTATGTTAGTGATACACACTTAAGGACTTAAAAACTCGATTGGGTTTATGTGTTTTTTTAAGCTCTCTTTGTGATGAAACTCAAATTTAATAACACGATCAATCTTGAATTTACTTTGATTTTAAATTAATTGATAAACTCTTCACTTAATCAAGTTTGATAAAATCTTCAGAATCCCGTTCTAGTCTAGATGTTGGAAACACAAACAATAGATATCAAGTATGGAAACCGGTTTAGAATGAAACCAGTTTGGGGGAAAACCGGTTTTTGTATATACCCTTAAAAAAGTGCAACGGGTTAAAAACCGGTTTGATTAGGCAGCCCAATTTGTGCACGTTAACATGTGTATGGAATGGACTTTTAGATGGGCCCATTATTTAAAATGGGCTTATATAAATGACAAAACCTTGCTAATAATATTTAGTAGCGTGACGAATTGCTGTTCTCAGGGAAAATGGCGAAGGAGCAAAAAGCTGAAGGTGGAAGAAGCAAAAAAGGGGAAACTGCTCCGGCAACGGCGAAAGCTAACGGTAAACGTAAGATTAAGAAAAATGCTGAAGGAGATGTACAGGTGGAAGTTCCGATCGTTCAGTCTTCAAGTTCCAATTCTCATAACCACGAGAGGAATGGAGTGAAATCAGAAGCATTCAAAGAAGAACAAGTGGAAGTGTCTGGAAAAGAGGATGTCGTTGATGATTCTGTAGAGGCGGAGGAGGCGATGAAGAGCACTGAGGCTTCGAAGGAGAAGAAGAAGGAGAAAGCGAAGGAGGAGGAGGTGAAAGAAGATACACATCATAAGAAGAAGAAGAAGGTGAAAGAGGAGATTGATGAGAAAGACAGTAGCTCATTGTATCAGATTCCGATGAATCGTGTGAGTCGTATCATTAAGGTCGAAGATCCTAACGTTCGTATCACTCAGGAGGCAGTTTTCATCATCAACAAAGCATCGGTATCACTAAATTCCCTTGCCTTTAGCTCCCATCGAATTAGGGTTCATTAGTTGCATAAAAAACACTATGGAGCAGTTTAGTAAAACAGATTCGAAATACTATAATTAATTTCATTTATTGTCCAGAATCGCTCATTCATACAAATTATAACCATGGTAAGCTGCAACGAGAGTCAAATTGATGTTTCAAATCATCGATTACTCCATTAACATTTAGTCTCTTTTTGTTTTTTCTCCATTGTACCACATCCTAATGCTTTGACGAATCATTAACCCCCAAAATTTACGAACAATCAATTTGCAGATTAGAAACTTACGACCTTCCTTCTTGTATGATCAGAAACCGCTTCAAAAGACATGAATCCTGCTTTCATACAAAGCTTAACTTAAGCGACACATTTGACATTTTCTTCTTTAGGTCACAATGATCTCTTTTCAATGCTTTGAATGTTTGTGTTTGACACTAACAAATTAAAGCAACTCAACATAATATCTTCATAGAACATCAACAACTCTTTGGTCATATCACCTGTAATCTCTCTCTTATGAAATCTTTCAATGGATCAAAATTTCTTGTTTGTGTGCAGGAAAAGTTTCTTCAGCTATTCACTACAGAAGCATATGCTAGTGCTTTTCTTGATCGCAAGAAGCATATTGGTTACAAACACCTTTGTAAGTTCATCTCATTTATATTATACATCATGTGTACAAAAATTCATTACAGCATCTCATCATAAATGTGTAAATCTTTGTTGTTGAATCAGCATCAGTTGTTAGCAAGCGTAGGAGATTTGATTTTCTTTCAGGTATGTGAATATGTGATATGCAGATTCCTTTGTTTTATCAGATAAAGATTTATGGATTGTAATTTGTTTGTGTGACTTGTTGAATGTTGATGTAGATTTTGTTCCTGAGAAGGTGAAAGCTGAGGATGCATTAAAAGAAACACCAGCAGTGGAGACTTGAAATTTTTATTGTGAAGTGAAGATGTAATCCGAGTAGCATTTTTGTGACATTTGATGAGGATTCTCATTTTGTAATATTAATGTGCATTTGCTGTTGTTTGAATTGAATTATTGATTTGATTTTGTGTAATACAAGAATGGTGTCTTGAACTTGCTTGGTTAAGAGTTGATTTAAGGGCAAATTGCAAAAAAGTCACATCACACCATCAATCCAGCATTACGTGCACAAAAAAAAAAGTCACGCTGACCCATGGCTGTGGTGCGGTCCTCTATAGGGCGGGACACAGCGAGGCAAAAACCTCCCTAAAAAAGGAGGGTCACCCCTCCTCATTTCTTTACACCAATTCTTCCAACTCTCTCTCCCTCTCGAGATTTCGGTTCATCGTGATTCAACTTCTCGTTGTGTAATCTAGTTAGCGAAGCGTTGGAGATTTCAGAAGGATAATTAAGGAAAGGAAGTAAACATCGAAGTTGTGCTCACGACTATTTGGACCTCATCAAATCGAATTAGTTACACTTACTTAATAGTTGTTTCAAAAATATTCATGTGAATTAGTCTATTCATGTAACTCTATTCCAGCAGTCCTCACATTCTAACATACAAATGACATATATTGTCACATATGGTATGGTGAGATAACTCACCTGAATATTCTTGAAACAATTAAGAATGTTAGATAAGAGTAAGTGTAACTACTCAATTTGATGAGGTCCGAATAGTTGCGAGCAGAACTTCAACGTTTACTTCCTTTCCTTAGTTATCCTTATGAAACCTCTAGAGCTTCGCTAACTAGATTACATAACGAGAAGTCGAATCACGAGGGACCAAAGGAGAGAGAGAGAGAGAGAGAGAGAGAGAGAGAGAGAGAGAGAGAGAGAGAGAGAGAAGAAGAAGAAGAAGAAGAAGAAGAATTGGTAGAAAGAAATGAGGAGGGGTGACCCTCCTTTTATAGGGAAGTTTTTACCTCGCCTCGCCACGGCCATGGGTCAGACTGACTTTTCTTTCGTGCACACAATGTTGGACCTGTGGAGTTAGGTACATGTAATAAAACGTGTTGCGACACATAGAGGTGTGATGTGGCTTCCATATCACAATATTGTCATGTCATTTATTTGGTAACGTGCTAGATTGATGGTAACCGGTCATTTGGTTGATACTGCAACAAAATTGTAAATATAGTGACACAATTTAGAAAAAAAAACATAGTGTCAAAATCGCAATTTTGGTAAACAAAGTGACTTTATTGCAATTCGGGAAAAGTAGTTACCGGGAGAACAGAGAGAACCAATCATTTGATTGATATTGCAACAAATTTGTAAATATAGTGACATAATTTAGAAAAGACAAAACTGCAAGATTGGTCCCTATGGTAATCAAAAAACTTTGGATAGGGTCCAAAAAGTTTTCCACTTGCATAGAAGGTCCAAAATCAAGGTTTTTTTATGTGTTTTTGCTCCAAAAAACTTAAAAAGACGGTTATACCCTTTTACTTTCTTTTTTATATATATTTTTAATTTTTAAAATACTATTTTAATTTAAAAATAAAAAGAAAATAAAATAATTACCCCCAACACCACCTCTCCCTCTCTCTCTCTCTCTCTCTCTCTCTCTCTCTCTCTCTCTCTCTTTCTCTTTCTTTCTCTCGGAAACACAAAGTGGGAAAGGACATGCTTTTTAGTTCTTCATTCATCCTCTATCTTCTTCTTCAACGAAATCACACCTGTACCTCCATATTTCCTTCTTAACAAACATCCTTTAAAAATTGATTTCTAAAACCTAATCTTAATATGAATCGATTTCTGATGTGAACCCTAAACCTAAAATCGATTTCTATATATATGTAGGGCTAATCGGATGAAATCCCTCGCACATCTTCATCTTAATCCAAAATTATATAGATAGATATAGTGATGATGTATTTAAAACCAATTTCTTTTGATCTAGAAAAAGAAAAAGATGATCAATATGTAGGAACAACAACAAGAAAAAAGACAAAAAATACATTAAATCCAGAAATCAACATCAATCCACATTCAACGAATCCACACATATATGGGTTGATCCGACGAATGCTTTGAGGATAGTTTGATGGACAATTAATGATCCTCCACCACCGGAATCATCAAAGCTTGGATCTGAAGTTGTTGATGTGTCGCCAGTGGTGCTCGTCGATTCTCAGGAGGTTGGAGATCCAGAGTGTATGTTCACTACTAAGAACAACATGTCTAAGTTTTAAATCGCTTAATGGACAGATCTAAAGCAGGAAGCCCTAACTAAAGAACGAAGACAAAAACCCTAACCGACGAACGAAGTCGTCGTCGAGATTTGAAAAAAAAACCCTAACTGAAGAACGACAGCGATGAAAACACCACTGATGCCAACCTTCTTCCTGCGTCGACATAGCTGTTGCCGGTTGGCGACGCCGGAGGCTAGGGTTTTGCTAAGGGTTTTGTCGGCGATGAGAGAGATGGAGAATACCCAGTTCATTATAGATCTAAGGTTGGTGGCGTCAAATGCTAGGGTTTTTCCGACGAACATTACAGATCTTCACCCACCTTCACCATGAACACAAATTGCAGGCGAAGAAGACCCAATTCATCGGTTGTTCACTTTTCTTGGAGAATAAACTTTGTTATTGGACCTGCGTAAATGGGGAATAAAGGGGGCACATCTTGGATCTTAAATAACTTTAAATCGATATCAATTTTGAGTTTGAAAAACAATCCCATTCAAGTTTTCCCTTTTTCTTTTCCAGATTGTCAAATTGAATTTAGAAGGGGAAAAAGAAGTTGAAGAGAGGAAACGATGAACGACAAAACCATGGTATGGAGAGAGAGAGAGAGAGAGAGAGAGGTGGGGTTGGGGGACAATTATTTTCTTTTATTATTATTATTTTTAAATTTAAAATAGTATTTGAAAAATTAAAAAATATAAAAAGAAAGTAAAAGGGAAACCGTCTTTTCAAGTTTTTTTGGACCAAAAACACAGAAAAACCTTGATTTTGGACCTTC